ATGCCCCTCCCCACAACTATGACACCACCTTCCTCTCACCCTCCAGCTTTTAGATAGGTTTTGATACAAAAAAAATACAAAATACAAGAACTTTTCTTAAAATCATACGTTGAAAGAGAGAGTTGAGCACTAGGAGGGAGGAATTCTGTGTGCCCAGAGGCAGCTTCACGAGATTAAGTGTGTCCTTCAAAGACCTCAAAAACAGAGGGTGAGATTGATAAGCTGCGAGTTGGGAGAGTCTAGCCTTCAGCACCTGTCGTGCACTTCCCTCAGTGTAACTTTCATTGACTAGCAACCGTGACAGCATGATGCACAGGCCTACAAAGTCTGAACCCTGTCATTTTTTAAGAAAAGCACTGAATTCACAAAATACAAATTAATATGGCATCCTTTTTATAACTCATGTTATGGAAAAATAAAAAATGCAATATACAGCACATGACAAAAGTTAAGGTAAAACCTACATTAATTATTATTTATATGAGGATAAGGGGTCTATTTTCACTCTTAATAGATGATTTCAACAAACAGGACATGTTTTCAGCATTTTTTCTTTTGAATATTTTCAAAGAGCTGAAGAAAAACAAATGTTTTCTGGAAAGTATGTATTTCTGACTGTGGAATTACTACATCATTAATATTTGTGTAGAAGGAATTTTGAACATATTCATGAACATATTTTTAACATACTGTATTGAAAATTAATTCAATAGTTTTGGCTGGATCTCAACTCTTCGCCACAACTCTTTGTATATTTAATAGTTGAGGAACTGCAGCAGTTGTACCATGGCTAAAGACATGTGAAGATGAGCTACTGTAATTGCTGCTCTGGCAGGGTGGTGCTGACAAATGTAAAGCTCTCTTATAAATCAACTGGGATTTTAATAATCGAGTAGATATTTGAGTTTAACTAATTTACATTCTCCCCCTAAAAAAAACTTAAAGGTATATTTTGGTCCCTAGAAAGAGTATTATTTAGCATTCAATTCACAATTTGCCATAGCAGGTTGCCAATGCTGCCCGAGGTTGACCAATCATTATCAATCTGCACTAAAAAATTGGAAATGGTGGGCCATAAATGGTAGATCCTTTAGATTGGCCGATTGAATGATTCATCCATCTGCAGCATTTGAAGGATCCTTAGAGGATTTGTGATGGGGAAAACCTTTAGCACAGCATTTAATATAACATGCACAATTGCATCCTTCAGGGGGATGCAGCCCCTGAATTTGGACACAATGTTTGGGTTTGATGATTTATAGTTGTAGGGGGGAAATGAACAACTTAATTTACTGAGTTAATGGTTTGTGTATAAAAATCTTCTGGCCAAAATTTTACACACAAATTAAAATTAACATTGGAGGTCTGTGAAGTTTTAGTACAAGTAAATCTTTAGGTGTACAAGTAAAACAAAAGCTTTCTATCTAAATTCTAACTTCTAAAATAAAGGCCTAGGTGTTCTGGATCATTTCTACCTTCATATCTGTCCCAAGGACAGAACAAAGTCAGACAGAGCTGGGGTTCAAACGGTGAAACCTGCTTCCAAAACCAATGCCTGCATCCTGTTATAGGTGTTAAATGCAAATATCTCAATAGCTTTTCTTTGTGACTGTGCATCCAGATCAGTGTCTGGCCATATGCTGCCTGGTTTCTCATTCTCCTGGCAGGTGCATGTCTTTACAGGATTTCAACAGAACACTGGCTCCAAATGAATGGAATCTGCAGCCTGAAAAATTTTCTATAATGTGACACCATCCTTATGAAAATCCTTTGGAACATAAATGAGGCTCTAGAACCACTCTTGATGGTCTCAGTGAATAAAACAATCACTATACACTATGTTAGATACACATGGTAAATAACTTTAACAGAAACACAAAATAACTTAAACAGAAACACAAAAAACCCAAAAACAAAATCATGAGTGTTATCATTACCTGATTATTTAAAATCAATGAAGAGTTTTATTAAATAAACAAACAATTTATCCTCATAAGGAAACATCCATCAATCTATTTCAAAAGCATTTAATCAAGATGTGGATTTTCTAGCTGTAGAACAGTTGGGGAAATGCTTTAAAAAAGTAAGTTTTCTATTTAGAGCTAAGGAAGTTCCTCGTCGTTGTTAAAAGTGTAAAATTACTCCTTTAAAAAACTAAAATGTTAATAAAAAATATTTTTCTCAAAAAAACACTGCAAACCTATATTTAAATATAAAACGGCTTCGGATACATCTTCCCTAACCCTAACCTTCCAAATATCTCTGTTTAATATTCATATCATCTGGAAATTATTATTATTGCAGACTGAATAAATTCTTAGTCATCTAGGTTATGGAATAAATAAACAAGCTGAAATTGGAAGGCAATTGGACTTTCACGTAGTTTTTTTGAAGACGTTTCGACACATCTACAAGAGTCTTTGTCAATTCTGTTTGCTCGCACCAGTCCCAAAAAAGTCCCAGTCTATTCATATCATAGTAAATAAACATAATATTGGTCATTGTTTGCACTGGATGTTGATATTTTAAACAAAATATTACCTGAAACAGACATTTCTAATTAAAGCATTCACATGTCCAAAAATAATCCAAAACAACTATTAAAATCAGATGTATGCTGAAAGTCTGATGTATGCTGAAAGTATGCTGAAAGGATCAGTTATGTGTCTTTTCCAGTGGGAGGAGTTGATGCAAATGTTTGTACTCCTTTTCCTTTACTTGAAAGGACCTGCATTAAATTAGAGACAAACAGACTGAGAATAAGCAGAGACACATGGCTGCTACAATGATCAGACCTCACCAGGTTATGATTGCTTTTCTCATCCTGACAGTTAACTGGACAGGTAAGAACAAAGGATCCATATAAGGAACATGTTAAGTATTAAATAAACAATCAATGTAGTTTGCATCCTAATGATCTGTTTATCTGCAGGTATTGATGGTCAAACACTGACAGAGTCTGAACCAGTGGTTAAAAGACCTGGAGAATCCCACAGGCTGACCTGCACATATTCTGGGTTCAGTAGCCACCACTGGAATGCTTGGATCAGACAGGCAGCTGGAAAAGGACTGGAGTGGATTGCTCTTATCAATGGTGGTGGCAATGAGATCTACTACTCTGACTCAGTCAGGAACCGTTTTGCCATCTCCAGAGAGAACAGCAGAAATCAGGTTTATCTGCAGATGAACAGTCTGGCAGCTGGAGATTCTGCTGTTTATTACTGTGCTCGAGAGACACAGTGTCACACAAAGCAGAAACACTGTACAAAAACTCCTTAGTGGATAAATTGTTTTACGTAACAAGAAGACACCAAAGGGGGAGCCCTAACACCACCTATCTTTGTCACAACAAACACATTTACATGGACACATCTTTGGTGATAGAGTGAAGATTTGAGCAATAAGCAATACTTGAGATGTAGTATAAACAGAGGACATAGTAATATTGTGATAATACCGGAGTAATGAAGCCCCAGATCTCAGTTATGTTTGAGTTATTTTGAATAACAGTTAAAGACCTTAATATGATATGAATCTGAAACATTTCTTACTCTCTAGGTGCCTATATTACACAGTAAAATGACAGAAAATTGGGATGAATGACTTGCAACATAGGTTGACAGGCCAGGGTTTGAACATGTAACAGCCTTAATCAAAGACTAAGGTCTGCATGCACAGGGCAATGGTTTTAACCCCCAAACCACCACTAACTGAGGTCATGCCTTTGATAAGAACATTAAAGTGAAAGACATCTGAAATTGGAACAATATGTTTCATTGGCACAATTCAAAATACGGCAAGTACTTCAAGAAATTTTGAGCATGCATGCTCAAAAGTTCTTATGCTTAAGCTTTTATGCATAAGTTACAGGTAAGTTATGTGATCGTTGAAATACGTTAATTGTAAGTTACTTATAACTCATGGTGGGTCCAGCTTATCCAAAACCTATCAGTAACTTGTGCATAACTTATGCGTAACTTATCAAGAAATGATCTCTAATGCATATCAACGTAGTATTTGACGTGTACTAGACGACTGTTGAAGGTGTTTTTAAATTACAGCTACTGTATAATCGCGTATTGGCAGCGTTTTGGTTTAGAAGGGGGTTTAAAGGAGGAAACCGTCCATACTCCTCCCGACTTCGTCCTCATTATAGGCTGATCGTGACGGTGAGTGTGATGGATCCTCCCTGTGTTCAGGGACATGACCAACAAACTTCCTGGAAGACATGACGCTGAATCTGCAGAGAATGACAACCTTCTTCCTCTCTTTTTTCTTTTTATTTATTTTTTTGGCAGCTGTTAAACAGCAGCTAGTTTAATGCACTAAATGTTCCGTGTTAAGCAGCAAATGTTAAGATCTGAAAGGCACTTTAACTTCTCTATATTTAGGTTTTATCTAGTATCAAGTTGAGTGAAAAGAAACGTAAAATACAAAAGTAATATGCCAACAGGATGCAGTACTTTTTCAGAAAAACTGGGTATGGAACTAGAGTGAGCTGCTGAGGTATGGATTTGAAAAGCTGTATAATAAAACTGCCCCCCTTAAAACTTTTGTGTGCTGCTGGTTCCTGTCCTGAAATGTAAGAAAATGACAGAATGATTTTATGGTCTAAATAGTTTATTAAATGAGAAAAATAAAATAAAATAATCAATGCTTGGCAACAATTGAAAACTTTTATCTCAATTAATCGCATGAAAAGTTTGGGATTAATCACGATTAATCACATCATGTGAGATTGTCCAACCTGCTCTTCTGCTCCTTATGTAAATGCCTATTAAATGTTCATGGGCAAGCCCCATTGAACATCTCCCCAGCTCTGCTTACTGTCCGTCCTCATCACTCAAAGACACTAACTTAGTGAAAGACTAAAATTATAAACAAATATATCATCTGGTGGGAGGGTTCAGCATAATGCAAATCAGAAGTTTAAAAAAACCCTGATCTGATGCCGTCAGCTGCAGAATTGAATCTCCCTTCAGATCATCTGTACCTCCAACATGTACTCTGTAGCTCTGCTGCTGTTGCTTCTGCTTACTGCATCCTGTGAGTCACACTGAAACAAAGGCATAGCATGATAGCCCTGATGCTTGACTGTTGTTGACATTTCAGTTTTCATGTTTTTACTTTTTAGGTGTTAAGTGTGAACAACTGACACAGCCAGCCTCAAAGACTCTACAGCCAGGTCAACGTCTGACCATAAACTGTCAGGTCTCTTATGATTTCAGCAGCTACTGGACAGCTTGGATCAGACAACCTGCAGGAAAAGGACTGGAGTGGATTGGGTGGAAATATGCTGGAGGTTCAAACTATAAAGATTCCCTAAAGAACAAGTTCAGTATTGACTTAGACACTTCCAGCAAAACAGTGACTCTGAATGGACAGAACATGCAGCCTGAAGACTCTGCTGTGTATTACTGTGCCAGATATCCACAGTGACACAAACAAGCAGCAGAGCTGCACAAAAACTCCTCTGAGCCTGAACATTTATATTAAACCACCACAGGGGGAGCTCTAAAACTGTTTTTAATTTCATGCAATTGAAAAATTAAGATGTAAAAATTTGTATTTGAGGTTGACTTTAAAAATATTTATTTTTAGTATAATTACATTTGAATGATAACAAATAATTAATTTATGACTTTCTTCTGATTAGCTGCCCCCTGATTAAAAGGAGCAGAACCTGAAGGACTGACCTGCTCAGGTTAAAGGTGTGGTTATCAATACTAAGACACTCGGTTCAGAAAGGCAGTCTAAAAGGAACTGTTCTGAGTCACTACAGTCAATGCAGACTGGGTCTCATGCCTCCAACGATTCATCAGTCAATAATCGAGCCTGATAAATGTGTTGGATTTGTTGGCTTTGTGGCAGTAAATGATTGCTACGCATCCTGTTAAATAAACAGCATACTGTGTTTGTAGTTTACAGTTTGAATGTTCTGGAAAAAAAAAACAAAATGAAAAATGCATTTTTTGTTTTTGTTTCAGGTAGTAGCCAGAAAGACATCAATAGAGGAGTAACGAGCAGCATAAAGAAAGCTAAATAAGATTGTGGTCCAACTGTTTAATTTGTTTTACTACCTGCTCCATCTTGTTTTGTATCTTTATTTGCTTTTATTCTGCTTTTATTTTCCTTCTATTGTATCACCTAATTCACCAGTTAAAATTGTGTTGGGAATCATCTGAATAGGTCAACATCAGAAAAAACAATGGACCTGATTTTCCTGAAGAGTGGTGTTATTCAAACTCCATGGAAAACCTCAGGTGATCCCAGTTCCTAAGATTAGCAAACCAGGGCAGTTAAAAGACTTGAGACATGTTGAATTAACATCACTTATTCTGAAGTACAGTATCTGAGAGAAAGGTGGAAATTATTTTGTCATATAAGAACTTGTGCAAGGTTTTGATAAACATCTTAAATTTAATTTAAACAGTGCTGCCATTGTGAAATAGGGACAGAGGGACAGAGAATTTATCTTCTTTGCAAACTAAACTCCTTCTCTTTCAGTTATCCTGTCTTAATTTTGTCAGTCTTTTAAGTTTTTTTTCTGATTTATCTGTTAGTTGTACAATCTGACAATCAAAGACAGAAATAGCTTGAACAACATTGTAAAATTTTAGATCATCAGTGTGAAACAGAGATAACTTAATATCTTCTGCAACCAATAAATGGTTTAGAAGGCAGAAAGTATCTCAGCCTCTCTGGGACATGCTCTGGTGGTAGATCTTTTTTTTGCTCTGACACCAGAAAGTTCTCTTTCGCTCCCAGGTCATCATATCGTTTATAAGAGGAACCGCCACTTTAAATCTTTTATTAATTCTGAGATCAAGCCTTTAAACTGAGTAGGGTTCTGTTAGGGTTGTGAAATATTATCAAAATGACTGCTTGTATGTTGTGAATATGTGTAATATCTGTTATATAACATTGCAAACATGCTGCTATGACAAATTGCAACTAGTGAGGTTAATAAATAATTTAATCAAATTGATTCAAATTAATTACTATGAGATCTTCTAGGAAATCAAAGCAGCTACAACACAACTTGTGTCAAATAGCCTGAAGCATTTAGAACTGCATTGGGTTGGGACTAATTGTGAGAAGATTCCTAGATTCCTAGAAACTTCTAGTCAAACAATGACTCTGAATGGACAGAATCCATTGTCTGAATACTCTGCTCTGTAATACTGTGCCAGATAGAACCACAGTGACACAAACAGGCAGCGTTAGCAGCACAGATGCTGCTACAAACACTCACATTATTATACATCAACCAGAGGAGGCGCTTTAAGACCACATATTGATTGATAGTGTTTTACGGGTAGGATACTCAAATACTATTGTCCTTCTTGTAAAATACATAAAATGCTAACAGAACATCGAAAATAAATAATATAACCACACAAGACATAAAACAAGATAGCTACCCTGCAAATGCCTATGGTTCATGATCATAGTTGGTTATTTTTTTAGTTTATTTTAGGTTTCCATTGCCCCTTTGCAAAGCGAGTTCTTGATTTTAATTATTGATTATTTTTTCTAATCAGCTTCTGAATTTTGATCCACCTCACAAATAATTATTATTATATTATCAATGATTTATTAGGATTTTCATCATTTACACTTAAAGATAACCAAATATTTTTCCAGGCTTTAGGTCAAAGTCAGCTGTTATCTGTTAGAAGTAAAACAAATTATAATTAAATGAGAATTATAAATGTCTGTTACTTTAAACAGCTTAAGTATTTCAACAGTCAATAACTCTTTATATGATTGATAAAGATTATCGCTAAGTCTAGTCAAGACCACAGTGATACAAACAAGCAACAGAGCTGTATTGAACACAAGTGATAGAAAATGAGCAGAGGAAGGGCTCTAAACCTGTTTTATGAATTATTTGCAAAAATATATGCCTGAAATGTTGGTGTATAACCAAAAACAAAAATATTTCAGAATAAGAAACACCATGTACATATCACTTGATATATCTGATAGTTGTATAATGTTTGAACACATTTTTTAACCCATTGTAACAAAGGTTCTAAAACAGAGCAATAGCTCACATCAGGGATTTCCAGGAGTCTATTCAAGATGTGTTTTCCTTACTTCAACAATGAGCTTTACTAAAGTTTCCAAATAAGTTTATTTAGATTTAAACAGATAAACAGTCTCAAACGTAGTGAGTTGTTTTTGTGTAAAAGTAAACCTAAAATTTAAAGGAAGATTACAAAGTTAAATTCAGAGGGCCCCAACTAAAAAGAGATAATTTCCTGTTTTTTTTCCTGTTCAACATGTTGTTTAAAAAGTGAAATAATATTGCTTAATTATTTTGAACTAAAGAGGTGCCTTTTTAAGAGTTGCTTTATGTGACGAAAATAATCCTGGATTATAAGAACAATTACAGAATCTATTTTATAGCCATCTAAACTTTTTATTAGAATTGTTCATAAAACATTATTCTCTGTAATAGTTTTTGTGACATAGTTTTGTAAAGACTATCCTATAATTTGGAACTAGTTGTTTGAAATGTATACATTTGAATAAAAGTAGAATATTACACTTGAAGCATCAAGAGGTTCAAGAATAACAAAAATAAAATAAAAATAAAACTTTTTAAGAAAATCAGGATGAGTTCTGTTTCTTTCCCAGGAGGAGGAGTTGATGCAAATATTTTCTTTTACATGTCTGAGAGACTTAAAGACCTGCAGCAGATCAGAGAAAAACAGATTTCAGACTGATCAGAGACATATGGCTGCTACAATGATCAGACCTCATCAGGTTTTGATTGCTTTTCTAATCCTGACACTTAACTGGACAGGTAAGAACAGAGGACCCAAATAAGAAACCTTTTAATCAGTAAATACAAAATCCAAGTAGTTCACATCCTAATGATGTGTTTATCTGCAGGTACTGATGGTCAAACACTGACTGAGTCTGAACCAGTGGTTAAAAGACCTGGAGAATCTCACAGACTGACCTGCACATATTCTGGGTTCAGTAGCCACTACTGGAATGCTTGGATCAGACAGGCAGCTGGGAAAGGACTGGAGTGGATTGCTCTCATCAATGATGGCAGTAGCAGCATCTACTACTCTGATTCAGTCAGAAACCGTTTCACCATCTCCAGAGAGAACAGCAGAAATCAGGTTTATCTGCAGATGAACAGTCTGACAGCTGGAGATTCTGCTGTTTATTACTGTGCTCGGTAGACACAGTGACACAGAGAGCAGGAACACTGTACAAAAACTTCTCAGTGGATAAACAGTTTTAAGAAGAAGACACCAAGGGGGGAGCCCTGACACCTTATCTATATAACAAAAAAATATTTAGTTGTATCTGATATCTGAGGGATTCCAGAAGGGTTAAGCTGGAGATATAACTATGATGTATTTTAATTCTTTCATTTCAGAACTTTAAAATATTTGTTTTAGAAAGATGTTTTAGACTTTGACAGATTTATTTGTCAATTTGTTTGCACAAGTGTAAAACAAAAAGAAATTTATTTTGGAACAGCTCTGGACAATTTAACCTTTTTTAAAAGTGCAGCCTTGAAAAACAGTAAAAAAATATATATACATATATATATATAAAAACAGTAACATAAACATCTGACTGTAAATTTAAAGTTTTAACATTTTAATATAAGGATAAAATATACCAAAAATAATAAAATCCAATACAATAACCCATTTTACAAAATATTCAGCAGTCTAATGGCACTGGGGAAGAAACTGTTGTGGAATCTGCTGGACCTGCATCCAATGCTTTGAAGCGTCTTCCCAGAGGGCAACAGGGAGAACAGTCCATGGTTTTGTTTAAGTACTTAAATGTTTAGAACAAGTCAGAATATATCACTTATATGATGCATTGATGCAGGGGATAACACACACACACACACACACACACACACACACACCCATATATATATATATATATATATATATATATATATATATATATAGGTCCAAAAGAAGACAGACAATCAAACATTTTATGATAACATTATTATAAGGTTACAATTTAGGAGATGTTGTTGTGTTGTTGCTTGTGCCTTGTGGGTCTACAGAGCTCAACAGCCCACCTAAAACAGAAAGCTTTGATATTACTCCATGAAATGTCTCTTAAGGTTTTCTTTTAGAAATAAAAGCGATTTTACTAATAAATAGTTTTGAATTTATAAATGAATGTTAGTTGAATAAAACATGCAAGGTTTAAATTATAGTACCACCCACTACGTTAAAGCATAATTTTCATGAACTCTTCTTTGTTTTTGGTAAATAATTTTTTGAGGGTAGAATAGAATAAAATAGAATAAAATAGAATGGAATAGAAAAAAATAAAAAATATCCATTTATTGTACCACAATGGGGAAATTGTTGATAATTTCTTAGAATGTGGGACAAAAAAAAGAATAAAGGTTTATATAAACCATTTTTATTTTG